AAGAAGACAAGGAAGAGGACCCTGATTTTGTTGATAGTGCTTATGAGCAGAGTGAAAATGAATGTGAGTTGTTGAGAAAAGACGATAAAGCATTTGAAAATTATGTAGACCAGCCAGAAGTAGTTGAAGACCCAAATGCCCCTATGGATGAAGATCAGGAGTCAACTGATGTAGCTAAAAGTGATGTTGAGAGCTTGGATAGTAGCTCATATGATGAGGATGATGGGAACCAGAAGAAAAATGAAGAAGAAATCGCCTAAATTTCAAGAATTTAGGCCTAAAACAGACATGTGCAACCCTGTGTTTAAGCTGGGTTTAAGGTTTGCAACCTCTAACCTATCTAGGAAAGCAATTAGGAACTATTCAATTGTGAACAGGAGGATGATTAAATTCAAATGCAATGATCATGATAGGGTGAGGGCAGTGTGTGCAGGAAATTGTAAATGAGTTTGTTTTGCTTCAGCAATGAATGGGAATGAATGGGTTCAAGTGAAAAAATTGGTTGATGAGCATGATTGTGGGACAGTTGATCACAACTTTCATGCTAACTCAACATGGTTAGCTTAGAGATATGCTACTCAACTGGCTAGAAAGCATAATTGGGATATGGAAACTTTGAAGCAGCAGGTACAAGAAGATTTGTCTGTGATAGCTTCTAAATCCCAAATATATAGGGCAAGACAGAAGGCAACATCTATATCTGAGGGGACTTTTGAAAAACAGTATGAATTATTATGGGATTATGCTGCTAAACTAAGAAGGACAAATGTGGGTAGCACAGTCATTATCAAATGTGAGTTGGAGGGTGAAAGGCCAAGGTTTCAGAGGATTTACAAGTTCTTGGCTGCAGTTAAACAAGGGTTTTTGTAGGGATGTAGGCAGTTATAGGATTTGATGCTTGTCATATTAATGATCATCACCCTAGACAGTTGTTATATGCTGTTGGTGTGGATCCTAACAATGACATGTATCCTATTGTGTATGTAGTGGATGAGGTGGAGAATTATGAAACATGGTCATGGTTTTGTCAACTATTGGCAGAGGACCTTGGAATCGAAAACAGCAGCGGATATGTCTTTATCACAGACAAGCAAAAAGGCTTGATTGATGTAGTACATGATCATTTTCCAAACGCTGAGCACAGACACTGCCTCAAAAACTTAGAAGCAAATTTTTGCTTGCTAGTCACAGAGGATTGGTGTTGAAATTGCAAATGGAGAAAATCGCAAGGAGCACAACCATTCCATGGTGCGATGCTGAGATGAAAAATATGGGATAGTTGAGCCAAGCTGCATTTGATTGTATGGCGGCCTTAGATCAATCACAATAGTGTAGAGCTCACTTTAAAACTCATTCCAAGTGTGACATCCTTTTGAATAATATGTGTGAGGCTTTTAACGATGCCCTTGTAGAAGTACGAGAAAAACCTATTTTAACCATGCTAGAGAGAATTAGATACTATATTATGTTGTTGATGGCAACTAGAAGAGTATCTTGTGAGAAATGAAAACATGCCATTGGTCCAAGGATTTTTGGAATTTTGGAGAAAATGAAGAAAGAATCAGCTTGGTGCATTCCAGAGCTTGCTGGGGAGAGTTTATATGAGGTCAAAAACCATGATAAAAGTCAGGTTGTGAGATATTATTAGGATCCCATGCAAGCATGCTTGTGCTGTAATTGGCCAATTAAATGGGGATCATATTGCTTATGTTGATGCTTGTTACAAGAAGGAGGCCTTTATGAGAGCTTATAGTCCAATGGTTCATCCAATGACAAGTGAAGACTTGTGGCCTAAGTGTCATAGGCCTCCTTTGTTGCCACCACTTTATCACAAACAACCTGGGAGACCTAGGAAGAAGAGGATGAGGTCGGCAGGTGAACAACCAAGCAAATCTAACCTACAGCTACCAAGTTGCAGAGGTATAACTTGGAAACCAAGTGTTCACTTTGTAGACAAGGAAGCCATAATAGGAGGAGCAGCCCTAAGGCAAAAGAAGGCAGCAGCAGTCAGGTTTGTCTCTTCCAAAAAGACATTGGCAGTGCATTTTTGTTTTGGATCTTTATTATTTATTTATTTTCAAATGGTTCTCTTCTTATGTTAGGTCTCATGTAAACGAAAGGTGAAGAAATCTGCCCAAGATACGACATCAACCAAAAGGGTTACAAGACAATCAACAGTCAAGCAACCTGCAAGTGACTTTATTTTTATTGATATTAAGAGAAAGATGTATGATATGTAATTGATGTAAATTGAAATCCTTTTCAATTTTTTGGTGAGAAGAAGGTTGGTAATTGGCCAGTATTCTCAAACTCCACATGGTTCTGAAACAGCCTAAGCTTCTCAAACTGCCCCAGCCCCAGCATCTCAAACTGGCCCCACCTTCATAAACTGCCCAAGCATCTCAAAATGGCCAAGCTTTAGAAACTCCAAAAAAAAAGAGGTTTAAGTCTCCTGCAAAGAGGATTAAATTTCCCAAAAAGAAGGATGGTTCTCAAACTCTGCAAGGCTCTCAAGCTGTGCAAGGAACTGAATCTGTGCAAGCTTGTCCAGTTTCTCAAACTGGCCAAAGTTCTCAACCTGCCCAAACTTCTCAAATTGTGCAAGGATCTTAACTAAGTGTAAGCTCATTACACCCTTTTGCCAGTAGTACAAGCAAAAAGAGGTTCAAATCTCCTGCCAAGAGGAAGAAATTTACCAATCGGGAGGATTTGTTGGATGGTTATCAGCCTTGGAGATTCTGATCATGTGCAAGTGTTTTGTGTTTTGTTAAAATGCCTCTTATGAAGACTTTTTCATTTCACTTTTGTTTTGCATGTACAAGTGTCAAGGACAACCCTTTCAAATGGGGCTTTTGATTGAACTATTATTTTGCAAGTCCAACTATTAAGAACTTTATTAGTAATGTTATAAACTGTGAGGATTTGATCAGTGTTATAAAACCCATGATTGTCTGTTATGAACTGTTGCAAGTGTTTGTGGTACTGTTGTTTTGGTAATGCTTTTCATACCATTACGTATGAGGTCAAAATCCAATAAGTAACTCCCACATTGTGTTCAACAACCACATTCATTATATAAGTACCAATACATTGTTACCTCCAGTTGCAAATTCAAACCATGTTCCTTCATCATTGCATAGCTACAAAGACATGATATTTTACATATAGTTGCAAAATACAGACTTGTACAATCTGCCTAATCCCTTCATTGCAATGGCCACATTTTGTGCCAAGTTGTTACAGACATTGCCAAAACAACACCACCATTACTAAACCCCATGAAAGAATAAACCAACCCATTAACTTTCTTTCTCTTGCTTGACGCTGCCCAACGTCCTTTTCATGTTCCTTCAATCTTCTAAGTAGCCAACTCACCAAAGCCTTCTTTCTAGGTGGAATTTCAACATCCACCCAAACAAAAAACCCACATCCTTTTTTCCTCCTTTGCATCAACTATTAATACCAATTAATAAAAAATTTAACCGGATTCACAAACTTTCAACAACATAACTTACCCCTGATGAGTTTGAACAAACATGGAATCTTCGAAGTGGGTTCGCCTCAGCCCATGAAGTTTGTAAGCGAGCTATCCTCCCACAAAAGCAACGCAGTGCCACCACATCCAACTCTTCCCGTTATCAACTATTTCAGTCTTCATCTTCAATTTTCGTGGAACCCAACCTCTGATTTCTAGGGTTTTAGAGGAAGCCAATTTGGGGTTTTTTGGTTCGATAGGCAGCTCAGATCAATTTGATCGTGTGGGCTATATCAGATGTTAGAGGTGGGGTCCACATGTACACGTCACACCCTTAGATTGGTCGGAAAAATCTCAACTTATGGACCAAACTACCCTTGCCACGTCTTTGGTTTAACGGAATTTGGAATGGCGTTGACGGAAAGTGGTTAAGTGAAACACGAAATATTGGTCAAGGGGGCAAAGTGAGTCACTTTAACTTTGAGGGGGTAAAGTGAAAATTGACCAATGTTCCAGGGGGCACTGTTGCATTTAAGCCTAATTCAAACACTTAGGCATTAAGAGGCATACCACATGACTGAAGAGGTGCTTCAAAATCGCACCAAGACACGAACCAACTAGTCATTTTTCTCGACGGACCGGTCATCTTTATACATAGATGAAGTATGTAGCTTCTGCTTGAAAACGACCGGTCGTTTTATTCTAGATTCTAATATTTTTGAAAATCTTAAACATGTTTTTGGGGAGCCATATTAATCTTTAATTCTTGACAAAAAAATGTTCATTATTAATTTAGGTCTGGTTAGGTCTGGTCATGTTCATCAAGATTTATGGAGTTTTGACATATGTTGTTATTATACTTCAAAATTACTTTTAATCACTTCAACTACAAACTTCTTATTAAATTTAATTGTTTTGTTTATGAAGTTCGACACGGATATTAATAATAATAATAATATAGAATCAATTGCAAGTTGATTAGAGTGAATGTGTTCCCCATTCTGCATCTGAGTTTGAATTCCCCTCTCCGTAGTTTAGATTAGATTAAATTATAATATCATTTTTATTAAAAATAAAAAATCAATTAGTTCAAATATCTCATGAATTGATGAGAAAAGGACAAAAAAAGAAAATGATAGAGCTGTATATGTGTGTTGGTTTATCTATTTATTCATTATTTTTGGGCTAAGGCCTGCCAATTCACAAATAAAAGAATAAAACAAGCTCATCAGACATGGGCTAAGTGCGCATTATTTTGGGCTTGGTGAGTGGGTATTAATTTGACCCAAAAAAGACATGGGCTTGGTGGGCATTATTTTGGTGTTTTTTTTTGATATCTTTCCGAAGATAGTTTTGATGAGCTTGGTCATATATAGTCCAATATATATCCTGGACTGCAATTTTAGGTGATAAATAGCAGTATTGCAAAACCATAGTTGTAAGAGTAACTTCAAATATATATATTTGTTCTCATCTTTTAAATAAATTAAAAAAAAAATAAAAAGAGAAAAGCTTTTATTCAGCAAAGGAGAAGAAAAACTTATATATCATGGAAATAGTACTGTTTTGTTATTCATAATCAATTATGTTTCACTGCCAGCGATAATTTTTTCACAACAAAACGTGATTGTTTGAGAATAGAAAAATACTGTTATCTCGTGACATGCAAGTTCTTCTCGTGAATGGCACAACTGCCAAAACATTACAAAACCCAGAATGCAACATTGGCCAACTTAAAACCTTACCTTCATTATAATAAGAATAAAATTAACAATCCAAATTTGC